GCGACCTGCGGGTCAGCAGCCGAGTACCTTAGCCACTAGACCACCACGGCGGGGCAACTGTAGACCTGATACAGTGAGCAGTTCGACTGAGCTTGGTGCTATAATTTATCCGCTTTTTGAAGACGCTCTAAAGAGGAAACGCTGAGGCGGTTGCGACTAATGAAGTGTTACGTCATTTTCGAAATTTCACGCGTACACACTGTGTCACTTCGTTGGCGTTACGTTACAGATTTAGAATTATTTTGTCGTTTTACGGCCGTGTGCCTCAAGTTTTTTTGGTATCGACAGCACTTTTGGTTAAATTGTGATGGTGTAGGCCATCTTTACTTAAAAAGCAAACAAACACACTTTGAAGACGCTCGAGTTTCGCCGTCGAAAGTTTATCTTGAAACGGATAAAATATACGAGCAGGTGATGCTCGCGGAACCGATTACGCTATCGCGTGATAGGGAACGCTATCGCGTTCCCTATCACGCGATAGCGTAATCGCGCATCGCCTGCTAATGTATTTTTTATTTGCATCTTTCTCGATATTTCGGTCACGGACAAGATAATTTTTCGCTGACAGCCATCGACGCCGACACTGAAGTTTCTGCAAAACAAGCTCTTTAACGGTTTGGAGTTAAATGGGCGTCATCTGTTCTATCGTGGGTAAGGCGCACGATAGCTTCAAGGCGGTGTCACCACCACTGGTTTCACATTTCCCCCTTGTTCCTGATTACCAAGTCAATCTCAGCAAGAGTGGCTTTTCCCTTTGATGGTTTGTTTGATGGTGCTTTAATATATGCAACTCAATATCTTTCGGTGCCACTGTAGCGCGTACAGAAGCGTTTTGTGCCTGCGTCGTATATCAGCTGTGCACGCAAATTATCTATTCTGAAATTCGATGCACGATTCCCTTCCTCACCCCTTTTACGCTAGAAAAAGCTGTGCGATCGTTAAACGGGGAGTGCTTGATAGGTAAGCACCAACGCTTGCACACATCCTGAATGTCCGGTCTGATAATGTGACGTCCGATAATGGGGGGGGGGGGGGGGGGGGGGCGCTTTCGTCATCAAAAGGTGAACGAACCTCCCATTTCTGGCTCTTTATTGTCACCGTGCAATTATCCGCTGTGATTGCTCGGCTGACAGTCGCAGTGCAACATCACCTGTCTCCCCGCTGTTCTGTGGCCATCCACCGCTGGCTTGCGATACCCCGCAGAAATACCCCAGTCTGCGCCGTCACAGTCATTGAGGTCGCACGCGCTAGGAATGCAGATACCATTCAATGATGATAGTTTATGCGAACACCAGCTCCGTTGTGAAAGTATCTGGTGAAAGAAAATACGGCTGCTGTTAGCAGAAATCGCGGGCTCGACCACTACCTAGCGATCGCTCCAAAACATTTCTCGACTTTTTTTTTTTTTTTCAGATCTTGTAAAAGAAATGTTTTTGTCTGGTCGGTCTCGGGTCGGCTTGCTTTAATGTGAACGTTTGTGATCGATGTTCATATACCTGCCTTATGCGTTTCCGCTCGGATCTCGCCTGAACCACGGCCCGGTGCGACTGTGTGGTTCCGAAATAGTCCACGAGCACTCATTTTGTTCACCGCGATTTTGTCCCTACGCTTTAGCGCACGTTCCCGGAACGTGTCGCACAGCCGGACGAAGAACCGGAAAGCCTCTCGTATTGTACCTCTCATTTCATTATCGCGTGTAATATCCTCGAGATATTGCCCAGCCGCGGTGGTTCAGTGGCTAAGGGATGCTGACCCGCCGGTAGCGGGATCGAATCCCGGCGGCTGCATTTTCGATGGAGGCGAAAATGCTCTAGGCCTGTGTGCCCATATTTGGGTGCACGTTAAAGAACCCCCAGGTTGTCGAAATTTCCGGAGCCCTCCACTATACGGCTGCTCTCATAATCATATGGTGGTTTTGGGACGTTAAACCCCACAAATCAATCAGTCAATGCTTAATCTCGATATAGCTAAGAACTTCCACCTAGCTACAACAAAGCTCTGGCTAGCTAAAGCTACAATAAGCAACCCGTTGAGATATGCGAACGCTTGCTTTCAGAGCTATATTCTGTATCTCGTGCTTGGACATTCGTGTCGTGTTTACTTGTGGTTTAATTCGAATCCCGGCGGCTTCATTTTCGATGGAGGCGAAAATGCTGTAGGCCAGTGTGCCCATATTTGGGTGCACGTTAAAGAACCCCCAGGTTGTCGAAATTTCCGGAGCCCTCCACTATACGGCTGCTCTCATAATCATATGGTGCTTTTGGGACGTTAAACCCCACAAATCAATCAGTCAATGCTTAATCTCGATATAGCTAAGAACTTCCACCTAGCTACAACAAAGCTCTGGCTAGCTAAAGCTACAATAAGCAACCCGTTGAGATATGCGAACGCTTGCTTTCAGAGCTATATTCTGTATCTCGTGCTTGGACATTCGTGTCGTGTTTACTTGTGGTTTAATTCGAATCCCGGCGGCTTCATTTTCGATGGAGGCGAAAATGCTGTAGGCCAGTGTGCCCATATTTGGGTGCACGTTAAAGAACCCCCAGGTTGTCGAAATTTCCGGAGCCCTCCACTATACGGCTGCTCTCATAATCATATGGTGCTTTTGGGACGTTAAACCCCACAAATCAATCAGTCAATGCTTAATCTCGATATAGCTAAGAACTTCCACCTAGCTACAACAAAGCTCTGGCTAGCTAAAGCTACAATAAGCAACCCGTTGAGATATGCGAACGCTTGCTTTCAGAGCTATATTCTGTATCTCGTGCTTGGACATTCGTGTCGTGTTTACTTGTGGTTTAATTCGAATCCCGGCGGCTTCATTTTCGATGGAGGCGAAAATGCTGTAGGCCAGTGTGCCCATATTTGGGTGCACGTTAAAGAACCCCCAGGTTGTCGAAATTTCCGGAGCCCTCCACTATACGGCGTCTCTCATAATCATATGGTAGTTCTGGGACGTTAAACCCCACATATATAAATCAATCAATGAATCAATCAATCAATCAATCTTTTCGAGATATCAAAGCGCAGTGCTTCCGTTTCACCGGCCGCCTCGTCGATGGGCGTCTTGTCTCACTGACGTCTTGCCTGAGCAGGTAAACAAAGGCTGCGAATTTCCCGGGCAGTCATCGTCGGCGCGTCCGTTGAGGTGCGGGCGATTTCCTCGCGCGCATGTCGGGGCAGGCGCAGAGCGAGGCGAGGCACGTGATCCGTGCATCCTATCCCACTTTTGCGAAGGCGTGGGCGTACAGCGAGGTTTTTTTTTTTTTTTCTCCTTTTTTTTTCTTTTTTTTCTTTTTGTCGTTGCATAGTTGCTCGGCGGTAGTGGGCACGGTCTGCCCGATCGCGCCTCGAACAATGCCGACCGGCGAGGGCGAGGGGCTAGGCGGTCGGTTGACGACTTCCTGAGGTGAACCGCCACTCCCCCCTCCTCCCGCCGTCGTGCCGCTGACGCGACCGCCACCAACACCGGCATCATTTTTGAGAGAGGGTGTTTTTTCGAACGGAGCCGGTTGGTGGTGGGCATCGCTGCGAACAGCTGTGCGAACTAGTTGGGCGCCCGGGCCCCTTTTTGGCGAGCCAGCTTCCGGCGAGGTTTGGGTGCTGCAACGAACGAACGGGTCGCCCTGGTCGACCGCAGAACGGGTTCCGTTCACAGGCGGCGCTCGCGTTGCGCTCATATATTTTCAATTGCTCTTGTTCGCAAATACACTGGTTCTCCTCCATTTCTCTCGCACTGCTGGAACGACCAGTCGCACGTGTATACAATTACATGGATTCAATTTAAAAAAGCGGCGACTAGTGAAGTACTTTTGCATTAGACCATCCTCCAGTGCAAGCGATTGCTTTTTTGAGGTTTTGGGAGTTATCAAACTAGGCTTAGAGGTGTGGGTATATACATATAAGGAATCATAGGTGGCACAGCTGTGGGTGGGTCGGAGGAAAAATTCCCTTTCCTCAATTTTTAGTTTGCATGTTGTACAATAGAAAGACAGAAACATACAGTGTACATGTATAAGTCTCAATGCTCCTCCCTTGAAATAAAATGCTTGCCACACTTCTGGAAATTATTTCAAAGAGTATGTACAAATATCAGAGTGTAATGTGCTCTTTACTGTATCTTCTGAGCCCTCCTCAGACATGTTTCGATAGCCTACAGAAAGCATGTATCAGCCTGGCTAATACCTACTTCACGTGTTGTTATACTTGGCCTTCAGAATTGTTTGTGTTCTGAGCACATTATATGAAGCCTTTGCTAATGCACAAGTTTTGGTTCTCCGGGACTTTGAACGGGGCAGTTGCTTGCATGTAAGGTTGCCATATAATAAATACATTTCACAAGTGAAAACAAGGCAGAGAAGATGATGTTCACAGGACATTTGTTACAGATCAGCTGAGGTCTAATGAAGGTCTTGAATGTGCCTTTCTTTTCGCTGTCTTGTTGCAATGCCAGTTCTTGAATATTTATAACACCTGTCAGAACATCTATAGAATGTCCAGACATATCTAGCTGTTTCAATCAGTGCTGGCATAACGAAGATTTTATTCTTACTGCAGAGACTGTATAAACCTGAACACTAACAGTCAGTTATCATATCCTTAAAAGCCAGCTCCAACAAACTCGTCCATGCATAAGGAATGCTTTCACATTGATATTGATAAAATGTAAAGCAGGTCTATAACAGTTCTTACTATGTGCTATTAAATTTTGTTTCAGGAACCATATTAAATTTTCTTAGACAAGCAACAGTTTGTAGTAGAACAGAGTTTTCAGGTTATCAAACTAAATACAAAATAAAGGTAATACTGGCAGACTGGCATTGTCCTGAAATATCAAACATGGATGTCATAACCTTTCTGTGCTCTTCACAGCAGGAAGACGTACTTTACAGAAGGCAGTGTGTTGTTTATATTCCAGTTTTCATTTTGCCAGCTTAGCTTTCCTGCAGGTTCATTGCCTTATAATGAAAGCCAACGTAATGTTCGTGTTCTCTTTACAGCAAGGAGACTTAATAGGTTTGTACGACACTATGAGCCTTTGATGTACAATCATGATGATATCCATGAGCGACACATGCGCATCAAGAGGTCTCCACAAGACCAAGACGCAGCACTTCACCTCAAGTTTTATGCACATAACAGGTACGACCAGCTTGGGAAAGCCCTGTATCCTCTGTATGCTGTTGTCCTAATATACCTGTTGGCAGCACTTTACATCAGTAGGGATTCTTTGCTAAAAGATAATGCGTAGCAAGCCCGCTAATTATGGATTACACTAATTTGCAACCCCCTGTTTACGGATTTTTCATCGCAACCTTCCTTCTTCCCTTTCCACCGTTTTTTTTTGGAAGCCCACTAATAGTATTTTGCAGGTATTGAGCAGACAGCACTTCATGAATGTCTACAATATTTTTTTTTTTTCACTATATGTGTATGCACCGATTAAAACCCCTTAAGTACTGGTCGCTGCATTTGTGTAGGGAGCTTGTTTGTGCTAGTTGTGTCAACATCTGGTCAAAAGAGCACAGGATACATTGGTTATCAGACGGAAAGGAAACATATGCATGTTCAGCATGTCTCGAGTTAACCTGGGCGTGCTGCGTACGATCGCTGCTGATCACTTTGGTGAGGCACTACGATGTTAGACTGCCGTTCGAAGTGAAACCAAAAACATAGTGCATACGCATTTGGGGCCTATGGTATTCTCTTTATGTTAAAATAGAACCTGACTGACTGGCAAAATAATGAAATAATAAATAACATAATTAGTATTACTAACTACTGAAACTTACACAAAGAAACACTACTTCATTTTCTTTCTTAGAGTGTAGTATTGAGTGTCATTATGGTATGTGGATGTCACTCATTTGTAGACAGTGCATCATTATTCATGCATGAAGAGGATGTTATTCCCTTTAAGGGGTGCCTTTAAGATGATATATATATGAAAATGAAATTGTGTACTTGCAGTCATTCAGTGTTTTAGTTATTGACTGGATCACACTAATTCGGAACCACATTGCACTCTACTTGCTCTGATCTTACTGCTTCATACATTATTAATTGATTTTAGAAAGGGTCTTCAAGAGCCATTGCAATGATTGTATACATTCAGCGCAACATTCTGACATAATCCACGTTGCTTGGTCGTTGGGCACTTGCACTGAATGGAATCTATGCAACATATGTTGTGCATGTTGTTGGTGCCTCTTATGTCCATATGAAAAGAAATGTTGAACTACTTGTGAAATTCGCAATTGTTGGGAACCGAAGTATTTGCATATCACGCTTCCACAGCAACCATCCAAATCATTCTGTGCTCAGACCTTGCTTAGAAGCACAACTGTACTGCTTAACAACGATTGATGTTCAGGCATTGCATTATATATTTACAGCATAAGAAGGCATGTACAAAAGGTAAGTAATTCTTTAAAAAAAATTTATGGGTCGGGCTCGTTGATGGCTGTTATGCCTCATCATGTTCAGAGTTGCCCCATTAATCAGCACGTAGTGCAAGAAAGCTTGAGCGATGCTTGTTAGTACTCATAGTCTGTAGCACTTTACACCTGTGGAGCTGTACTGCTTATTGACTAACATGGTGGGCACTTCTTATTTTCGCAGACATTTTCATTTAAGGCTAAAACGCGATGCATCAGTATTCAGCAATGACCTTGTGATAGAGGCACATGACAGGAGGCCGCTGGACGTAGACCTGTCACACATTTACTCTGGGCATTTAGTAGGTGAGTGCAAGCATTCTCGTAGCATGCTCTGCCTATTCTGGGCCTGCATACCAGCTTGTTGCATATTCTGGTACCTTGCAAAATCCTTTATCACTTTGCTTAACTAGCTTTGCTCTTCTTTCAGGGGAGCCAACGAGTCATGTATTTGGGGCTCTGCACGATGGTGTGTTTGAAGGGCGCATCGAGACAACAAAGGGTCACTATTATGCTGAGCGGGCCAACAAATACTTTTCCGATGAACGTCCATACCACTCTATCATGTATGCTGCCAGTGATGTCGAGCTTCCAGACCACGAGAATGAAACTGCTCGGCCTGGCTGTGGCATCACGGAGGACGTGCGGCAATGGATGGACAGAGTTGCCAACAGTGCTGTGCCAGATACGGCTGTGAGTTGCCTGCCATGTCTGCATCACTTCAGTTCTTCTAGATGCCTGATCCACCTCAGTCAACAGTTAGGCATAGATGAAACATCCTGAGATATAAAACGTTGAGCTCTGTTTTCAACCCAGCCTTCAATTACAATACCCTGTTTTAATTTACAGAGCAAATGTTTAGTCTTGATGACAGGAAGTCATGTCAATGGAATAGTATCAGTGTTTCATAACAATTTTCATGACCTTGGGCAGCTACTTTGTGAAAGGTACCACGGTATGCTGACTGGGCTCAAGTAGTCACATTTATTTGCTCCATACATTAACTGTGGCATTTTACAATGAGATGTGTAAATATAGTGCACTGGCGTGTGTTGGGCTTTGTACAAAAAAATGAGTTCGATGTTGTAAGGGTTCCATCCTATGTACGGCTGACGCAGAAGGGTATAACTAATGTTCCAGCCGCACACAGTCGTACCGTGCACGATTAACGTCCCCTATCCGTAGCTTTCTCATTCAAGCTTCACGGTTTCGGGCGAATAAGGCAACAGGCTAGGTAAACAACAACACTTTATTGCTATACGTCAGTAATAACGCGTACATGTCACATAGAGACACTACAGAAAACAAGGGTAGACACTTACACCTTGGTCGTTGTCGTCCTTGGCTCGCAGGGGGTTTCGGGTTCGACCTTTTTCCTTGGTCGGTGTCAGAGAGAGCGTCTGGCACGCTGGTTTTCTTCACCATCCCGGTTTCCCTTCACTGACGAGCATACGTTCCCTCGCTGAAAGAGGGGAAACCTGCTCCATGCGCAGGGAAAGGGGGATCGCGAGCGCCGGACGCGGGGGTGTTCAGTCACTTCGCAAGAGGCTTTATTGACTTGTGTCTCGAAGGGACAGTCATGTCCCCGCAACTAGCCTGCCGCGCTGCCGTAAAAGGGAAAGGGTAGCTGGGTGCACGTGCTCGCCCGCAATGTTCAGGTATCTTGTTTTGAGGTCAGTTTCTACTTGAATGCCACATAATTTTCTTGCCTCTTGCTTATAATACTAACAATATCAGGGGTTTTACGTCCCAAAACCATGATATGATTATGAGAGACGCCGTAGTGGAGGACTCCGGAAATTTTGGCCATCTGGTGTTCTTTATTTAATATGCGCTGACATCGCACAGCACACTGGCTTCCACCGAAATGTGACCACTGCAGCTGGGATCGAACCCGCAACCTTTGGGTCAGTGGCAGAGTGCCGTAGCCACTGATGCACCGCAGCGGACTCTTGGCTCTTGCTTGTGCCACATTTTCTTGCTATTGGTTGAGAATGCAAATAACATTTATTGAGACCGGTCAGCCACATTGACCTTCTCAGCGGGATTTATGGACACTTCAAGCCTTGTTTGCTTTGACGGCGGCACTGCATTGCGCTCTGCTGGTATGAAGGCACCTGCCAGCTTTGCGCGTGCAGAGCTCAAAAGTCTAGCAGAAACGTACAGTGCATCAGGTTTGTACAGAAGAAGCAATCAACCAAAGCGGCAACTTGCAGGCCGTGCTAAGTTGTCCTTGTGGTGGTGCTCTGTAGTAGTCTCTCTTCCACTGATTGCATGAGCATTGTGCGCTGAAAAATCAGCATTTAATTCTGAGTATCAGTGTGGGTATGGTGGTATGAGTGGAAAAAACAGTGCATGTCAATTTGTTTACCACATTAGCTGTTTTCTTTCTAACCTCTTACGGTACTGGTGTCAGTGCCAGCCTTGTGAAATATCTAATATCTATGAGGGAACTGTTTTTGCTGTACTGTGGAAGTTGCTTCGTGTGCTGTGTTGCATAAACATGGCACTTCTGTGTAGTATGTTTAGCATAGACTGTAGAGCTTCGCACGAGATGCTGATTCTTGCTTTAAGTTCTTCATTATTCATGTGAAACTGCCCAGTTCAAATTCTTGAGCACCTCATTTTTGAAAGAAAAGCTGTCATGGGGGGTCAAAATAGAAAAGAGGTTGGTAAGACAAAATAATGACACTCGCAAAAGAGTATCATGCTGTTGAATTTCTCATGCCCTCCTCCTTGTAACTTGCACACTTTGCGAGCAGCAACAGCTGCACATGCGTGTTGTTTGCTAACAGCATTCAAATGTGCTGTGTGTATGTTTAGATGTCCAAGTACAGTCTGTGAAAGCGTTGCTGGTATATTTGCAGCTAGTACAGTCAAACCCCTTATAAGAGACACTGATATAAGAGACAAATGGGTATAAGACATCAGAATGCCTACAGTAAAGTACAGGCTGATAAGAAAAAATGCATGCGTGGTATGTGGGAAAACCACGCTTCGGAGTTTAAAGGCACCAAATGAAGGAGACGCAAACGCCAGCATCCATGGTAAAAGAGCGTGTTCTATTTCGGCTGGTCTCTTCCTCTTCCTCGTCGTTCTCCGTCTCTTGGTGCGCGCGCTATTCGCGCGGGAGGTTCAAACAATTTCCAACATCCTCCGCGCCCGAAAGTTCAATCGCCCAGCTCCAACGGGCATAAAAGTTGTACTGGCCTCGTAACTTCCGTACCTCCTGCCAAGACAATCTTGCAGGCTCTAACGTGATTATCACTTGATAAGTACACGTCAGTAACTCTACCAACTTTCCAAAAAGTTATGGGCACCTTGTCTTCCTTAATGACGACTACATCGTTAACCTTAAGCTGGTTGCAAGGCTGTACTCGCCTAATGTGTGCACTCCTCAAGCACAAGAGGTAGTCTTTATACCAACGCTTCCAAAAATCAGCCACTATTTGCTGCCTGTACTTCCAATGCTTTAAAGTATCGGAGCGAGTTCCCGACGTTTCAGCAGTATTAGCACTAGGCAGTGTAGTAGACTTCCTACCGGTTAGAAAGTGCGAAGGTGTAAGTACAGCTGGATCGGTAGCGTCAGCGGAGAGGTACGTTAATGGCCTAGAATTCACTACATTTTCTACTTCGGCAAGAATGGTCACAAGCTGCTCGAAATCAAAGCAACCTTTCCCTAGAATTTTCCGTAGGCAGCTTTTAACAGTGCGAATCATCCTCTCCCAAAATCCACCCCACCAAGGACTACGTTCTGCAATGAATTTCCAGGTAATGTGGTTATTAGAGCAAAAGTCCTGTACTTGGAAGTCTCTCAAAGCTCTGTACATCACTTTTAAGTCGCGACTGGCAGCATGAAAAGCTAGAGCATTGTCGGAATAAATAACACTAGGCAAGCCGCGTCGCGACACAAACCGACGGAAAGCCATTAAAAATGACCCCGCCGTCATATCGGAGCACAACTCCAAATGGATCGCCCGAACGACGGCGCACGTAAAAATAACGATATAGGCCTTCACGGGACTGGTTCCTTTCACAAAAACGGGACCAGCAAAGTCAACACCCACAACTTGAAAAGGGTGTGATCTCTTAACCCTGTCGGTCGGCAGTGGTGCGGTAGGGGCTGTTGCAGGTTGGAGCTTGAATCTAGCACACACTTTGCACCTAGAGAGCACTTTTTTTCACACACTGGCGGCCCTTAATCACCCAAAAACACTCGCGTAGCTCTGAAAGGGTATCGTTTACACCACTGTGCAGCAGGCGCCGGTGCGTGCGGTCGATGATGAGGTATGTGCAGCGGTGGTCAGCTGGTAGTAGAATCGGGCACCTCACGTATTCTGATGTTTTTACGTTGTCAAGCCGGGTCTTGATTCTTAAAATCCCATCATTGTCCAGGAATGGATGCAGATTACGAATTCGGGATGCCTTAGCTAATGGTTGGTTTTTTAACAATGAGGCGAGTTCTATACTAAAGGCTTCCGCTTGTGCATTCTTCATCCATGTAAACTCGCCTTCTTTTATCTCAGGGGCAGTGAGTGGGCCCATCAGACGACGACTGGTGTGCACTCGACAATTGTGAATAAATCTTCGAATCCAAGCTGTGATTCTAACAACTCGTATCCAGCTGCTGTACTTGTCGAGCTCGAAAAGTGGCTCTGCTTGCGAGCATTGACAAGCCAAAACTGTTGTGTCTTCGTCGTTTGATCTACATAGTTCATCCGTTGACTCATGAGGACCAGCTTCACTTGCCGGCCACGTTTCTTGGGTACCAGATAGCCAGTCAGGCCCATGCCACCATAAATCGCTAGTACAAAGGTGATGCGCTGATATCCCTCTTGTAACTAAGTCGGCTGGGTTTGTCTTTCCAGAGCAATGTCTCCAGCGACTCGGGTCTGTGAGCCCTTGGATCTCAATTACCCTGTTACAAACGAAGGGCTTCCACTTGGTGGCTGTAGACTTGATCCAACTCAAGCAAACTTGGGAGTCGGTCCAGCAGAAGTATTCTATATTTGTGTGTGGCAAAGTATCCACAAGTAGCTTAAGAAGTCGAGCTCCAAGAACCGCAGCGACGAGTTCCAGGCGTGGTAAAGTGAGACCCTTGATTGGAGCGACCCGAGACTTAGCGAGCAGCTGCTGGAGTCGAACCGCTCCGGTACTGTCTTCCACTCGTATGTATGCCACTACTCCGTAGGCACACGGGCTAGCGTCCGTGAATATATGCAGCTGGTGAGTGCTTTTATCAGGGCTGCTGTTGTCTAGTTGATACCTCTTGGTTCTAAAGTCTTTGAGGTCTTGAAGTTCGACAGTCCACTTGTCCCACTCGATCTTCAATGTCTCGGGGAGAACGCTTTCCCAATCGAGTCCTTGCATCCATATCTTCTGAAAAAGTATTTTAACTCGAATGGTGAACGGTGCTAGCAGTCCCAAGGGGTCGAAAATTCGTGATGAAGCCTGAAGCACAGTTCGCTTGGTACAAAGTCCCGCTTTTAAGACTTTCGTCACAGAGTCAATTTTCACCGAAATGGTGTCGTCGGTGTAGTTCCAGGATAGCCCAAGAACCTTAGATTGTGTGACCTGCTCAGCTGACGTCTCTCCTGCTTGCTTGAGCTTCTCTCTTAACAGGTCGCAGTTTGTTGACCACTTCTGCATTTTCATTCCGGCCAGCTCCATTATGGCCTTCGTCTCTTCGTAGAGTTGTAGCGCTTCTTTTGTCGTTGAAGCTCCGAAAACTAGGTCATCGACGTAGAAGCTTGCCTTCAGTTTTGCGGCCGTTACTTGGTAAATTTGTTCAACGTGATCGAAATGGTATTTCAACGTTGCAGATAATAGGAAAGGGCTTGCGGAGGTGCCGAATGGAACTCTGGTCATTCGCATTTCTTGTATTTTTGGCAGTGGTCTGCCTGACATTGGTAGCCCTTCAAACCACAAGAAACGAAGAGCATCTCTGTCTTCTTCTCGAATGCTGATTTGTAGAAACGCCTTCTGCACGTCTGCTGTAATTCCGATGGCGAAAAGGCGAAACCGGATCAAAACCTTGAAAAGGTCAGCATTCAGATTAGGACCTTTTTCGAGTTGTTCGTTGAGAGAACAAGCTCCTGATGCATGCGATGATGCGTCGAAGACTACGCGAAGTCTCGTCGTCGTAGATGTTTCGCGGATTACCTCTCGATGCGGCATGTAGTATAGGTGCTGTGTACAATAAGGGGCATCTTCAACTTTTTCAGCATGACCGTCCACCTCATACTGCCTGATAGCCTTATCGTAGGCTCTCATGGCTTCGTCGTTTGGTGACAGCCGCTTGACGAGTCCATGGAGCCTCGAAAGGGCTACTTTGCGATTGTCGGCCATGTCGACGAGAGGTGATTTCCATGGCAACGCAACTTCATAGCGTCCTTTCCGAAGCCTGGTAGTGTTGTTGAATTCTTCCAAAATATCTGCGTTGCACTGAGACGTCGGCGTGTCGGCAATTCCGATAGCATCGAGGTCCCAAAATCTTTGTAATGGGAAGGCGATCTGGTCGTCTTCGTGGGAACCTGTTCGAAGAACATATACTTGGGTGCTTGCTTTGTTACTCGTGCTTCCACCACCAGATAAGGGGCCTTGGAGAGTCCAGCCCATCTTTGTGTTAATGGCGAGTAAGGCAGGGTTTTCTTCATCCCACCTCACTTCACTCGTGTTGGGCATCAACTTCCAAAGCTGGTCCGATCCAATGAGGACACTCACACCTGGCTCACAATCTACACTCGGGTAAACGACTGCGTCAGCCAGATGTTTCCCCTCCGCTGCGATGGCTTGAAGAAGACGACTCTGCCTTGGTGCTTCAATCATCTCCTCGCAAATAAAGGGCACCACTATGGCCTCAATGTCAATGGTTAGGTCGTCGTGCTGACTGCGGAGCGTGATCTTGACCATTTTGAATCGTCGGGTTGGGTCGCTCGCTCTACCAAACGCACTGATGGCGAGTTCGGTCTCGGCAACAGCAGGTAGACTTAGCTTGGAAGCGACGCTCTCAGTGACGAACGTTCGCTGGCTTCCGTTGTCGAGAACACCGCGTATATAGCAACAATGAGATGAAGTCGTTACCCAAGCTCGAAAAGTCTGGAGAAGAACATCATTGATGAGTCGGGGAACTGAAGCTCTCTGAGTGGAAACTTGCACCGTAGCATTCGGTTTCTTCTGAGCATTAGTCACTGATGGTGTTTCAGAACTACTAGCATTGCACATCGAGGAGGCGTGTCTGCGCTTGCATGCTTGGCAGTGCACTCTCCGCCGGCAATTGCGGACCAGATGTCCTTTTGACGTGCACCGGAAGCATCGACCGTCTGTTACAAGTTTGTTGCGCTTCTCGGCCAGAGTCATGTCACTCGTGCAGTCCTCTGTCTTGTGATCGGTAGCAGCGCAGAAAAAACAGGACGAGGGGGAAGATAGTGTCTTGTTTTGAAGAACGGATGCTGTAGGAGTCGCGGACTGCTTCTTGAATGATCTATTTAATACAGGTACGCTGTTGTTCGATGTCGTTGGCAAATTGTTCACTAAAGAACTCTTTTCTCGACATTCAACTTCGATGCGGAGAAATTTCATCAGCTGCTCAAGTTCCTGATCAGATGAAGCCTGGCTCGTTTCCGTCGTGTTCTCCATACTTTCTTTTTTGAAGTATTCTACGACAATGTCAGCTGGTATGACTTTGAGCAGAACTTCATTCAGCATAGCCGCGTAGGATGACTCCGTGATTCCAAGACTACGCAGTCCCCTCCTGTTTAGTTGAACTGTGTCGAAAAGCTTGCGCAGAGCAGTGACATCACTCGCTAATTTCACTGGTTTGAGCGTGCGCAAATTTCCTAAGTACTTCTGCTCAATGACTTTCTTGTTTCCAAACCGACGTTTCAAAATTTCCAGCGCGTCATCGTAACAAGAATCTGTCACCTGAATACCGGCGACGGCCTGAGCTGCAGGTCCATCTAGAAGTGAGGCCAAGTAGTGAAACCGGTCTGTGTTGGACAGCCTTGGGTTCTCGTGCACGGAGTGCAGGAACATATCCCAAAAGGGTTGCCACTTGATCACGTTTCCATCGAAACGAAGAAGCTCCAGCTTGGGAAGTCGTGCGCCGAACTCACGTTGTGGAAGTCGTTCATGCTCGCTCGGTGCACCCTCACAGGTCCTTGCGCCCATGGCTGGAGTTGTAGACGACGCCGGCGTAGCAGAAGTCTTCAGAACTTCAATGTGGTGCTCGAGCAACGCCAGAGTACTGTTAGCGGCGTCATCGTATTGCATGACCACCTCATAGTCGTCTGCCGCCAGGTCGTCAGTGATCAGGGTTTCAACCTCGTTGTTCAAGGCTTTAAGTTCCACGTTGCTGGCGCGTAGGCGGCCGTGCAGCATTCGAAGTCCAGAAAGCTCGAACTCATTGGACTGGAGCACCTGGTTGACCTCGTTGATGATTCTCGTGTTCATCGATCGCCGCGAGGCCCGCTTGCTCTTCGCTCGCTCCATGTCGGTCTAGCTCGCAGCGCAGCTCACCCACACCAGGAATGAAAGGCTCGGGTCGTTGTAGGCTTGATTCCCGGGTCGTCGGCACCAAAATCGATGTGGGAAAACCACGCTTCGGAGTTTAAAGGCACCAAATGAAGGAGACGCAAACGCCAGCATCCATGGTAAAAGAGCGTGTTCTATTTCGGCTGGTCTCTTCCTCTTCCTCGTCGTTCTCCGTCTCTTGGTGCGCGCGCTATTCGCGCGGGAGGTTCAAACAATTTCCAACATGGTACTCTGTTTATAAGAGACATATAAATGAGAAGAATATAAATGAGAAGAAAAGGGGTTCAACTGTACCTTGAAAATGTGCAGAGTGACTGGCCTATCTTTATCTTGTCACCTTCTTACAGGAGAGTGGCTGGAGCAAGCCAAGGCGTGCTGTGCGCTCTCCGAGCGAGGAGGGGCACCACCATTTTTCAGAGGCACCTCAAGCCAAATACCTGCGGTCAGCAGGCGGCCTGCATTTGGGCACTGGAGGGACCAGCTACCTGCCAAAGAGGCGCGTCTGTAACCTGTTCGTGCAGACGGACACCTTCCTCTGGGACCACATCACAAGCACGGGCAGGGACCCTGTCAAGGCGCGCGAGGAGATCTCCTCTCTCATAGCCCAACACGTCGAAGCTGCCAGCCGCATCTATCGGAGCACCAACTTCAATGGAATTCGGGATATCAAGTTTGCCGTGCAAAGGATACGGGTATGTGTTAAATAGGTTTGAATTGTAGAGAGTTCTCAGTTGGTGGTACAGACCTTTGCAACAATGAAAAGTGTTACCTCCTTTCTAGACTGTTGCACAGAAGTACAAAGGCTGATGTTACAGCCTTGGCAGTGCATTTTCGGTAGGTCACGCATATTATCAATAGCCCAAAATGTTTTTGGCGGGCACCCAGGGAGCTTTTGTTGACAACGTGCATATATTTGGTCACAAGAGACACAAGGGTGTGAAGCCACGTTGCTGGCACCATCTTGTGGCTCAGCTTAAAAGGGCATCTCTTGTGATTTGTTGGTGTCCACTGATCTCAATTAATTTTTTTTGTAGTCCACTAATGTGTGTCGAACTAAACTTACTGCAAGTCATTTAATTTTTATGAAAATCAATTTTAAAGATAAATAGCGAGTTCCTGAATCCTTCGAATGCTGGCCACCCTGCATTTGTGATGAAGTCTATATCACTACCTCACCAAGCAGGCAGTTAAAAGTGAACAGTGATGATTCAGAGCTAAAATTGTGAGTGATATCACTGCCAACAACTTTGAAAAAGCTCGAACAGCTTGATGTATTGCCAGATTGCATTGCAGCTTCCTAGTTTCTGGCATGAGCACTCTGTGCTCTGTGGTTACAATATGGTCAATGTAGACGTTACTTGAAGCCATAGCCTGTTTGTTTTTTAGGTTTCAGCACGCTATTTTTTGATTACTTAGAATTGTGGATGAGTGTGTAAGCAATAGAACTGACCTACCTGATATAGCGCTGCCAATACCATTTGAAAACAGAAATGTAATGTAGTTAAAAGAATCCCAAAGCTCCCCTTTAAATAAAGGAATGAACTATTATAGCTGTATTGGGTCAGATTCAAATTATGTGCCAGTGTAAGGCATTAAGAATGAAATCCTGTCTACATACAATCTTTGCTCTATTTTCAAACTGTTTTCGCCTAAGCGCTTGGCCAGAAGCCAGCTCATCGAACTGTTTGCGTCTGGCTAATTGCTTGAGGGCAAAAGCTGAATGAATAGCAAACATACAACATACTGCCCAGCTAAGTTTCTATTAACATGCAGTTCTTTTTGCTTTGTGTTGTTCCAGATAGCATACATGCAGAAAACATAAATGTTTTCATGGACTGTTCTTCAACAAAGCATCTCAAAATATTGCTAGTAGCATCACTGATGGCCATGCTTCTATTTGTTGTTGTTTTCATACCCACTATTTTTCCTGTAATATACAAAAAAGCTGAACCTATACAATATATCAGGTATAGCTGAAACCCATTATCATGTTTAAATAGCATCTGTAGTGAATATGTGTTTTCATAATTATCTGTGGTAAACATTTGCTAAGAAATCGGTACAAGCGTATTTGCAATCTTTCAATTTCTTTTCACTGTAAGCCATGCAAAGCCAATGGAAACCACTACAGTTACAGATATTGCTGTACAATATCGCGAACTACCAAGTCAGCGGTCTCAACCTCAAGGTGACGTCACAATTACCATGACTGTTTGGCTCCTTTTGTAGGGCAATGAAAGCGTACAGTAATTTCAACTTTTATACATCACGATTCAAATGCTTGAAAAAAACGTTAAGTGGTACTGTGATAAGTGGGCTTGCGAACAACATCGTTCCACTTTTAGCACACGCAAGACCACAGTGTTCCTGTCACCGACTCATGAAGGCATCCACTCATGAATAGTAGCAACCAGGCTCTTTTCTGCGCCACTGGGCACAGTGATTCACCATTTCCATGTTGGCTAGCAAGGAAACAGTGACTCTGCTGATTGTGCCCGATCGATTGTTTCTTTTGTGTAGATGCTTATTTCTTGAGCTGTTTCCCATCCTCAACTGATGGCATAAATATTCCTTTCCTTCCTTTTTTTTTTTGTCGTAAAAGCGCATCGTTTTAAAGAAAAAAGCTAGGGGTTCCACATCACTCTAGATTCCCAAGGCTAGCAAGCTCGCAAACCTGGGCATGGGAGAATTAATTGCCCTTTATGGCTAGCTTGTGCCACTTTTTTTATTCAGTTGCTTAAGGTTTGGTGTTTGTAAAGCTGTATTAATGCACATTCTGGAGGTTTATCACTTATTCATGACAGCTTGTTAGCCACAATGGACTCTCTGTGTTTATGTGGACCATTTATTGCAGATCAATGACAGCTCAGCTTGCTACGATGATAGACATCGTCGGTCAAATCCGTTCTGTGCGGGCAACCTGGATGCGTCCAACTTTCTGAACCTCAACTCCCTATCCAACCATGATGACTTCTGCCTGGCCTATGTGTGGACATTCAGGGATTTCCAACATGGCACCTTGGGTCTGGCCTGGGTGGCATCGGTTAATGGTAGGACTCGCTGACCTGTTCATTCACTCATTCTCAAATGCATCTAAGACTTCACAATTCTAGCACTTTTATGCATGCAACTTAATTTTTAGGGACAGAGGCAAACTTTGTTGCAAAGTGGAATCCATGAAGAAAAAACTGCTGAATGAGGTTTTGCTAAACATGCAAAGGTCCACTTGTATGACCAACGTAATGGAGCAGGTTCTCTGGGAACTTGTGAAACTCTGAAAAAAAAAAAAGACTTATTGTTTAAAATAGAGACCAGCATTGTAATGTCTGTGCACTTGCTCTGATACTTACATTAAAAGGGCCCAGCAACACCTTTCTGGGTTAAAATGAAATAGTCTCACTATTACCACTTCTTCAGGACTAACGTGAGAGTTAGCGTTGGAACCCTTTGTGTTGATTTAGTTAATACGCATCACTTTTGCTCTGTTGGCAGGTGCGTCTGGTGGTATCTGTGAGAAGTACAAGACATACTCTGAGAACATCAACGGAAAGTCTGAAAATGTCAAGCGCAGTCTCAACACTGGCATCATAACATTCCTCAATCACAATGCCAAGATCCCACTGAAGGTATCCGAGATCACCTTTGCCCACGAGATAGGTCACAACTTTGGCTCACCTGTAAGTGTTTTGCAATTTTTAAAGTAATAAACCTTGTTTTAATTAGCAACATTCAAAAATGGGCTTGCTTTTCAACACCTGTCTTGGCTGCTTAGCGGCTATAACATTGTGCTGATAAGTGTTTTCAAGCATAGAAGGGTAGGAGCTTGGACTAGTTGGTATGTCGTGACGAGTGCTATAGCGCGAGCAGTAGATGAGAACACGGGGAAAACATGGACGAGCACTAACTTTCAACTGTTGTTCTTTGTGCTTTTGGCATATATAGATTTTCGTTTGTGCTCAATAAACTCAGTTGGAAGTTAGTGCTCCTCCTTGTTTCTTTCTGTCATTGTCTTCGGTCCACACTATGGCACTTGTTTTTCAAACATGCTTTGAGCTAGGCAACTGGTACCTGGACCATGGCAAAACAAACTGTCACAGTGCTTGGCGTTGGCTTTCCAATGTGTCGGCATTTTAAACAGGGACAAAGGATTACAAATAAGCACACATACACAGCGCTGTGTATGTGTGCTTATTTGTAATCCTTTGTCCCATCTAGGCACGCTGTTACACATTCACCATGCAAATATTTATATTTATCTATTTTATTTTTCTATGCGTACTGTAGCAGGTTCAAGAATTATAGTACCCAGGGAGTTGGAACATCGCCCTTTACTGCTGGAGGATGTCGCTTTGTTGAGGTCAAGCAATGTTTATGAGACTTGTGGAAGAGAGAAAGGCAGAGCAACTTCAAGATTAAGTTATTTATTTTATCATTTTATGTTCAAATTGCGCATTCGAATTGAAAGAAAAGACAAACAGTGGCACACTGTCATTATTGCATGGCAGCTTCGGCGTCGTGAGCACCCTTGGGACTTCTGTGGTGCAGAGCTGTGAGAGCAAAACTGGCGGTGGCAGCGATAAACAGCTCCAGTTGAGAATGGTGCAGCACAGTAGTGCACAAGCACAGTCACATGGTTTTATTTCGAATTTCGTGAGCTGTTTTTGAGACGGTGAAAAAATTTTTATACAGCCTGTATGTTAGCACAAAAAATTGTTGGTTGTTTTAAATGCCCTTTACTGCATAAAAAACATAATTGGCTCCAATATTTTTGTAGAATTGATTTTAGCTGACCAACTAATTAAGTACATTATAAATAACAACCAAATAAGTGCCACATAACAGCAAACTGTACGTCTCTTTCATTCAGTTATAGTTACTATAACTGAATAGTTATGGTTTTATAAGTATTTGGTTTTAGTAAAAAAAACCTGTATACATACAAAAAGTAAAAAAAATTGTGTGGTGGAGGAGGGGGGCTGGTTTGAAGCTATTGAACTGTCACCTCCGGGAGCCCTTCTAGCTTTGCATATTGCATTTGATGCAGTTGTCACGAATAACAGTGGTGCTGTAACATGAAGTGAACAGTTGGATGCAGTTAAGCACAGAGGCTGTCTGTGTTCACTTCTGCTCTATTATGTTGGAGAACAGTTGCTTGTTAACCCACGACCGTCTTGCCTTTTTGCACTGCAGCACGACTACCCGCCAGAGTGTGTTCCAGGGGGAACATTGGGCAACTACATCATGTATGCCAGTGCGACCCAAGGCCACCAGCCCAACAACCAGCGCTTCTCACCATGCAGTATACGAAATATCTCCGCCGTGCTGTCGGCAATCTTGCGCGGAGAGCAGAAGGAGAACTGCTTCCAAGGTGAGCTTTCTTTATGTACATGTACACCCGTGAGCAAAAGTATAGGGACCACGAGAGCGTGTGCGAAATTGGTGTCTATTGCCAGTGATTTGGGTACTTTGCTTCTTAACATGTAGATGGTGTTAACCAGTATCGTGACCATACAGTACAATCTCGATTATTCGTCCCCCGGTTTTGCAACGACCCTCTTTTATGATGAATTAGCTTGGTCTTAGAAAAGTTCGTTCAGAAATAATGCATTAAAAACCTTGGCTATATGACACAATTTTACGCCGACCCCGCATCTTATAGCAACTTTCAGATTTCAATCGAAAGAAAAGATTACCTTCTTCATTTCAATTGAATGCCATAGGAATATTCACGAGTGAAAAATAAGAACTTGTGTTTCCCTAGTTTGACAATTAGAAATGTGGAGAGGATGAGACAGTATGCCTTCTTAGAATGGAATATTTATTGTCGTGGCAGTTTATGTTTTCTTAATTACTACTGCATAGCTCGTTCTAATGTTTCACCACGAGGTTAAAAAATATCCGAGCATTGCGAAAAAAAAAAAATAAACCCAAAAATCTATAATTTTCACCAAATTTACTGTCCCAGTCGCCGCTTAGCTTGTTCCTCAAGTTGCTGTGCTTTCTTAACAGTTGTGACAATGTGACAATACCATTAATTTTGGGCCAGCCAATGACATAACGAAGTGGACCGTCGCACATTCCCTGACTTTCTTCTCCACCTGCAGAGGACGAGGGCCCGTTCTGTGGCAATAAGATTGTGGAAGGGGACGAGGAGTGCGACTGTGGCTACGAGGAGCAGGAGTGCATGGAGGACTGCTGCTACCCCCGTGAGCACCAGGGCAAAGGCTGCACTCGAAAGCCCAGAGCCATCTGCAGGTACTGTGTGCCACATACGAAAGGGGGCCCTTAATGTACGACACCATTTATGCTAAACATGTGGGCCAGTACTTAGCACTTTCACCATTTAATGAATGTCACCTGTCTGTTTACGGTGCTTCCAATGGTGCTCCCGATTATAGTGAACACTGTATTCAGTCAATTAACACTAGGACATTTATAAATTCAGCATACATTGAGTGTATTAACAGTTGTCATTGCAATATACAGCGGAATCCCGGTTTTATGTCTCCCGGTTTCACGACGACCCGCATTTTACGACAGATTTGTCCCGTTCCGGCGAAATCCCCTTAGACGCAATGCATTAAAAACCTCAATTATCTGACGTCATTTTACGCCGAACCCGCGTTTCGCGACGATCCACGCGAAGCGAGAGGACCAAATGGGAAGCAAAAGGGAAGTGCCGCGGGTGTCTTTTACCGCACCAGCAGGAGCAACCCTTCGCATGCCGAGCGCTCGGAGAAACAGTGCATTTTGGCTTTCACCTGCCGTTCGGGCGTCTTTCTTTCACCCTATTAGCGGCTGTGAAAGCTGTGTAAAGGGGCGCGGTTGTGGTCTTCCCCATTCCTTTTACCCTTTTTAAACAACCATATCTCTTCCGCTTTCGTCGCGCAATGGCGTCTGAAGGATTTTGTCTAGGGAAGGCTAACCTGTGTAGTATTTTAGTTCAGGTGGGGGGGGGCGCATCATTAGGATGTAATGTAATGTAATCTGATTTAATGCTTCATTATTAGGACTTGCACGAAAGCGCATCTCAAAACAATGCCTCGTACCTTCAGTAGCACAGCTGCCGTCTGCTATCATTAATCACCCTTGATAAATGAATGCATCGCTCCTGTTACCGGAGCTTGTACAAAAATGCGTATAACTGTCTGAACTCGCAGTCGTGCATCCAAAACTCGCTGACGCAGCTCCATGAGCGTTTTCTCAAGCACGTTACCCCTGCGTACAATATGGCGTACCCGCTATCGAAGATGCACGCACTTTATCGAACACAAAACCATTGGACACACAACGCACTTCGAGAGGCAGCGGATACTGAGGAAGGAGGAGGCGCCGGCCCGACGGCGCCGACGACTACTTGTAGCACCTTCCTTCCTCCTCCGTGCGCGACACCAAGAAACACAGCGCATACGAACGGCGGCGCCGGGTGCTGAGAGGGTGTTGGCGCCGACCGCCAGCCACGTGGTATGTGCGACGTAATACGGCGGCTTCACCCCGAAAGCCAATCGTAAAGCGCTTCACAAGAGTCCAATGACATGCCTCTGAAATGCGATCTTCTCTTCTGCTCCTAGCTTTCGAAAGGGGTCAGTTTAATACCTCAGAAGTGTCAGCTAGGGAACTGTGGCCCTCTTTTCACTCTTTTTTCTTGGAGTGCACGTGTTGTCTGCGATCGTATCGCACGACTACGCGAGATGTCACGAAAGCGCAGAGCTTTATCGCGCGGCGAAAAGCTGGAAATCATCGAAGAAGTCAAGAAGCGGCACGGAGCCACAAAAGCAAGTATTGTCCAGGAGCTAAAGATAGTGGAGTCTACATTGAAGACTATTTTGGCTAACAAGGCTTCGATTCTTCAGAACGCAATCAATTTCGGACTGAAGCGAAAGAATGCGAAAGAAGGCGATCACGAAAATTTGGAGAAAGTGCAAGTGAAGTGGCTGCTTTAAGCGCGGAGCTCTGCCATCAATATTGACGGCGCCATTCTCAGAGAGAAGGCCGACCTTGTGGCGTTGCGCGTGGGCATCAACGATTTCAAGGCATCGAACGGGTGGTTGGATCGCTTTGAAAAGCGCAATATCGTCTTCAGCTGCTCCTGTGGAGAAAGCTCCTCCTTAGACGTTTCCGCAGTGCAGGAGTGGAAAGAGTCACTGCCAGACTTGATTGCAGAATACAAGCCTTGTGATTTTTTTAATGGGGATGAAAGTGGCATATTTTACCACATGCAACTTGAGCAGACCCTTACTTTAAAGGGTGACAGTTGTCACGGAAGGAAGCGCAGTAAAGAGTGCTTGATGGCCCTGTTCTGTGTCAACGAGGACAGTTCTGAAAAGCTGCCGGTGCTTGTAATGGGGAAATTCGGCAAGCCAGGGTGCTTCAGGAATTTGTGGACGCTGCCTTGCAGGTACAACTTCAACAAAAAGGCGTGGATGACATCCTCTATAATCACCAAGTTTCTAAAGCAGTTGGACAAAATGGGTGCGAAAGCGAGAACAAATTTTCTTTGTGGATAACGCGCCATGCCACCCACCCGACACGACCTGCCTGCGGAACATCAAGGTTGTGGTTCTCCCGCCAAACTGCACAAGCCGTCTGCAGCCGCTGGATGCCAGAATCAAGTGCGTGAAGCAAGGCTACAGAAAGCGGCTTGTGCAGCGTCGGCTAGCGGCAATGGAGGGCTGCAAGAAAGAAAAGATTTCCTTGCTTGACGCTATGCACATATCGCCAGTTCGTGGAGTGCAGTGTTGCAAACCAGAATTGCTAACTCATTTAAGCATTGTGGCTTTGTGCGAGAGGCTGCCTCCACTGCTAGCAACTCCACATCCTCGATGGACGAGGATTCAAGCACCATCGACGACGATGACTTCGAACATTTGAACCCAGCTACAATATTCGCTGAATTCATGGAGCCTGATGACAATGTTGCCACCTGCAGTGAACTGTGGCTGGACGAAGCTGTCGCGGAAGAACTCGATGGCGGCGCTACAGCGACGTCAAACGAGGACGACGCTGCTGCCGCAGATTCTGCTGTCCCTACGTCATTTGCCGATATGCTTCGGCACATAAATGGCATCAGGAGCTACGTGTGTACACGTGACGCCACGGGGGACGTGCTTTTTGGACATTTCCATACTTGAGGGGAAGCTTTTGCAGGTGAGCTCAAAGAAAGTTAAGAAGAAGCTTACGAATTTTTTTTGCCAGGTTTCGCTACGGCTGTTGGGAATTGCACAAGTGGATTGCGACGCACTCAAGGTTCGTTTAAATGAATCATAACTAGTACCTGCGCAGCAGTGCTCTTCTCGCTTTGTTTTAGAGCCCTGTAGGGTTTGTTGGTAGTTTGCGTTAAAAGTTTCTCGCTAATCCTCGCACTAAGCATTTTTTTTTTTTGTGGCCGTAAATTTTCATGTTTGGATTTTATGACGTCCACATTTTACGACGATTTTGTGCAGTCCTGAGAAAGTCATAAAATCTGGATACCACTGTAGATCGTACACTTCTGACACTCTAAAAATTTCTCATTATATTAATTTCCTGTGGAGCACCAACTCGTTTATTTCCTTTTTCTGATACTTTCAGGCATTTCGTAGACATTTCAAGAAAAGAGTACAGATAATTATTCTGATTTGCTAAATATTGAGAAAGGGAGAAAGCTTATGGGAAAACATGTCATGGCAGTGTACAAAGGAACACAATCAAAAATATGCACAATTTGAAACGGCTTTGAAACGGCAGAATTTGAAACGGCTGCAAGTGTCGGCATAATGTCCTAGTTGGAAGAAATGTGCTGGGGAAAGGCATTTCTAATTGGCAGAAATTTTTTGCGTTCAGGTAAAAATGTCTGTTAGTGCAGCAGTTATAGCCATTGTTCTTGTTATCAAAAGTCCAGTCTTGTTATCAAAAGTCCAGTAACAAGATGTAAAACCACTCAAGCTGCTGTGCAGTAAGTGCACATTTGGGTTGTTTTGGCCGTAAATTTTTCTGCGAAATCGAAATTCGGAAGTTCTTATAACGTTACAGTAGGCTCTCATTAAACATAACCTTAAGGGACCAGTAAAATGTGTTCCATTTAACAAGAGTTCCGTTTACTGAGATATAAACAGAGGCGCACAATGCAAGAACGGAACCAATCTTGTCGGAAGCATTTGTTCCATTTAATCAGCAGTTCCATTAAACAGATTTCCGTTTACTGAGAGAGTGCTGTAATTGTAGCATAGCTCGGTCCATAATGGAGATCAACCCCTTACATGGAATGTAAATACTTATTATTTGTTTGTGATTTGATGAACTACAGTTAAACCTCGTTATAATAAAATTTGAGGGCTGCCACGATTTGCCTGTTATAACCAATATTTCTTTGTAGCCACAGGGGGAATTTAGTGCAAATATTATGCACTGTACTTACCCAAACAAATAATGGGCGAAATAGCATCTCGCCTCACAGTGGTACGCAACAAAATAACTGCATTCTGCAAATAAAAAGGAAAAGTCACGCACTTATTTTATTGCACTTCAAACAGACTTAGCTGCAAAGAAGTTCGTGATTGGATGCTGGTGCATATTCCTAATGCGAATGATTGCTCGCTCAGCTGCGGCTGCAATGTTCAAGCCATCTTCTCCGACCTCGTGAGTGCCAAAGTGAGCTTTCGGTAACTTGCCTTCATCGACATAATCACTCTTTGATCAAGCAGCTGCATTTTTGCTGTGCAGTTGGCAGGGAGGAACAGCAGCTTAATGCTATGAAGCGCGGCAGAAGCGGGGTGGGTGGTGCAGTTATATAAAACAAAGCACACCTTGCGGTTCCCCTTTGCCAGCTTCTCGTCCCATTCCAAAAGCCATGGTGCGAAACCAGGCTTTGCGATTGGCCATGTACTTGACTGTGAGCTGCTTTTTCCCCTTAAAGCAGCGAAGGGATGTACTTTTGCGATTTACGAAAATTTGCAGCTTCTCAGAACCAGTCATGTTGGCGCAAAGTAGCATGGTGATCCGCAGCTTACCTTGTTTGCTGTCATGGCGCGGCTCACCTCTGAGGGCTAAAGTCTTGTGCGGCAACATCTTGAAAAAGAGAGCAGTTTCGTCCGTGTTAAAGATATCCTCTGCGTTGTATTTTTCCAGCAGCCGCGCGATGTTATCTTTCACCCGCTTCGTAGCCTCTGTTTCGTCAACAGATTGTGATTCACTGCAGACTGCTCTTCCAACGATTTCGTGGCACTCCTTGAAACGTTGGAGCCAACCCGAACTTGCAACGAAGTTGTGATAGCCCATTATGTAGGCGAAATTCCTTGCTTTTGTTTGTAGCATAGCACCGCTTACCGGCAGACTCACGGCCCGCGTGTCTAAAAACCACTTAAAAACCGCTCTTTCGACCGCTTCAAAGGCAGCAGTCGTCATCCTCTTAACGTTTCCTTTCACGCCACGTGCAACAGCATCGATGATGGACTCTTGCTTGCTCAAGATCGTGGACAGTGTACTCATCAACTCATCAAAGTCTTTTGCCACTTTGCTTTTCTTTGTTCCCGCCTCAACGGCTTTTATCATAGCCACCTACTGATCTAGCGTTATACGCTTTCGCTTCTCGCCTGGCGCATTCATATTGCTGGAATTACGAGCACAGCACGATAAAGACAGGGCAGAAGCACTAAGAAAACACGTGCGAAAAAACAACACGACTAACGTCGGCGAGTGACAACACCTGCAGTAGTTGCTGGCAGGCGTACCGCAGCCATGCTTACTGAGGGGAAGTGTGAAAGTTGCGAGTGGGCTCGCGGGCGCAGAGAGAAAGAGATTAGAGCGGAAAGGGTGCTCTTCAGTGCAGCCTGTTAGGGAGCACAACGCAGCGCCGTGAAGTAGGGAAGAGGAACAATATAAAGAAGACACAAAATAAAGAAGCGAAAAGGGCGAGACGTTCGCGGAGTTGTGGAGTCTTCGGCTGTCGGCGGTAGCCAAGCGGCGCACGCGCAATGCCCGTGCAACACCCTCTCCTCCAGAAACAGCATGTGCTTGGCGTGCCTCAGCTTCGTGCGTGTTGCTGGAGGATGCGTGGCGGGAGTTTTGAACTGCTGCAGTTGTCGTGTTACGCACCATCTCAAATTCGCGTTTTGCACTGTCGTGTCGTCAGCTTAGAATTTTATTTCCTAACAAGATTTGTTCGTTATATTCCATGACTGGCAAATTTTACCTAGTTAAAACGAGGTCTTGAATACATTGGTTTCTATGGGGACTTTCATGGGGAATCGCGCTTTGCTTGTTATATTGATTATTTTGTTATAACCCATTTTCCTGTAACAAGGTTTAACTGTACATATCTTATACAATAGTAATAATTAATTCACTCATTCATTACCCAAGATGTGAACTTCATGTGTACTGTTAAAACGGCTTAAATATGTTAGTCACCTTCATGTGTACCACACGTGTGTTCTTTATGTCCATTTTTGAACCTGCTTTGTTCTGTCTTTACGGATTGTCGCCACTCTTTTTGATTATTAAGTTATAATTCACTAATGAAGCTGAAATAATTTTGCTATTTTTAGTGTACCTCAGTGTTTTCCAAAATTCAGGATGTGTAACTGTTGCAGCCTTCGGCATGTGCAATGTAGTTGGAATTTTTTCTTGCCTGTGTGCAGTCCTAGCCAAGGTCCTTGCTGCACCAACAAGTGTGATTACGAGAGCAAGGAGAAGCTGTGCAAGCTGGAGTCTGATTGCACGGAACTGTCATATTGCGAATATCCTTTCATCTCGAATGCTACCTGCCTTTCACCCAGTGCTGAGTACTACGCATGTTACAAACAGTGGCCCATAAAGTGCGTTGTATGTAAGCTCTAAATCTGGTGTTGTGCTCAAAGAATTTGGCTAGTGCCTTATAAATCTTTGCATAGACAATACGGTTTACTAAACAGGTAGAACCTAGCTGGTAATTAAACAGTATAGGTGTAATGATATGCGAGGGTGTGTTGATGTGGTCCAAGCAGTCATAAGGGAGCAAGGTTAAGATAAGGAAATATGCCGGCAAACGAGGATGGTGCTGGTGCTTTGAAGTCTTGAATGGCAGCTTGCTGTTATTCTGGAAATATGTGTGCACTCGTATGCCACCATTACTACCTATTCAGTACACACGTCCGCAGAAACTATGGAGGCCGAGAAAGCATAGGCAAAATTAATTGCTATGCTTGATTGGACTGCAGAACTGACTGGGTAAAGAGGAATGAAATTTGATGGAAAAATAAGCCTGCGGATGTGGAGACTTTTCCAATACTGTGCATTGTGGTTTAATTCAACGAAGCACCATCTTCTTATTCACTCTCTTGTATACTTGCGCACATGTGCGAGATTAGGCTCAGCAGAGCCAAGCTGTACAACTTATGGCCAAGTCGTTGAGGAATTTAACCTAAGGGGGCAGACTAGTCTTAGACATTTTTTTGTTTATTTCTTCAGTGATCTTGATCAAACTTCACAGGAGTATGTAGTTTTTTCTGCTGATTTCAAATATATAAATTAGTTTTCCTGTAACTCGTCTTGTTCCTGAAATAACTTAAGTTCACCCCCTATTGTTTAATACTGCCATAGAAAAAAAGTGCTTAATTAAAAATGATATTTAAAATATGCCAACATAGTCTAATGACTATAGATTGAAAGTATGCAAAAGTTTTTTTGTTTTTAGGCCTTTCTTGGTTATTTTACAGCAAAATAAACTATCCATTTTGAAAAGCAGTTGGAATTGTGTTACAATTTTGAGGAGTAATTAATTAAAAAGGGTTGTGCTCTAAATTCCGCTTCCATACTTGCACTCGACACACATACAGGTTTACATTGCAAAAAGAATTGTTGTTGTACCTGCCCTAGCTGCAGAGGTATTGAGGCCTCAAAATTGAACAATCGTAAATTTACTTTTTTGGGAAAAATGGAGAAAACTAAAAACACAGCTTCTTCAAAAAGCAAGAATCATGGTGCTCATGTTTTGAAATCCTGATAAAGGTGCTCATAAATTCGTAGCAGAGCTTCCAACACAGGTGCCGGCAAACTATAAGGAAGCCTCAAAGTCGGTTGGTGATTTTTTTGCAGGTTCTGCATGTTAACAGCACCAAGAATCTGGACAGTTAGAATGACATTACAAAAGAATTACCACTTCCTGGTGTGTGAAAATTTGCAGAGAGATAGAAAAATGCTTGCGGAAACTAAATATGTCAATTTTAAAAAATGAACTTTTTTGTCACTTTTTGGTCCCAAAGACCAGTCTGCCCCTTTAAGCAGACACCACAGTGTGTTTTAATGACAAGGGTGCTGCATCTTCCTTTTCTTATCAACCACGATTTTACTGTTGGCCCACAGGTGTCTCATACCTAAATGTCTTCTATATGAGTGTCTCTTACAAGGGGTTCAGCTGTTTTCTGCATAGCTTTGAAGCACTGCCATGAAGCCATCATTGCACACCGGAATTTGTTTTTTCATCATAATTATCATAGTAAATTTCCTTCATGAAATGCGATTGCGCTTTTTTTACCCCTGCACGATTTTAGGGGGGCTTGACCTGCATTATATTCAATTTACAATCGCTTAATTGCTGTAATGATATGGAACTAGCTTGTAAAAAGACTGCTGAATGCAAGCAACCTGCTGTAGAGTTGAGTTAGATTGCAGAGTGGCACGTTGAAACCTTGACCTTGATGCCCAGCACTGGTAAGCAGGCTAGCTGTCCCAACCCAGTCCACAAGCGCAACAAGACAGAGTGCAACAATGGCACCCAGGTGTGCTGGAACGGGGAGTGCAGTGGCTCCATCTGTGAGAAGTATGGCATGGACGAGTGCTCCCTCACTGCCGATACCAATCCATCGCCCGACAAGATGTGTGAGGTGGCCTGCCAGGAGAAAGGTCAGTCGATGCTGCGATTTGTCGAACAAGTACCTACGACTTCCGATTAGCCTGCAAATAGCTGTCCACGCTCGACCGAGGAGGGGCTCTAGCATGGCGTGTTGCCGTACGGTTCAGTCATCTTGGTGGTCCTTCGAAAACGTGTGCAACACAGGGTTTATAATTGCATGAATCATAGGTTCATGCCGTTATGATGCCATTATCATCAGGCATAAATCTTAGGAGCGCAGACTGGCAGAGCAACACGGTTACAACAGAAATTATCTGAGAATACGGAGCTGACGTAGTCGCGGCAACTGAAAGTGTATGCTGTTTTGAGGAGCGTGTTGATGATGACTTGGGTCATTTGAGATTAAAAGGCCAGTGCCTGATTGAGAGGAGGCTCCCAAAAGAGCACTTGGCAAGGAGGAAAAGCAGCTTTGGGAAAGGAGGGTAGCGAAGGAAAGAGTGAAATGAGTGATCTGCACATTTTGTTCATCAGTCAAACGCATGTAACTCTGCTATTATGGCACCACCTTAAAAAATTCTCATGACTACGTGTTTGTTGTAGACTTGTGAAGAACTGCCACACCACAACTAAATTTCCACCTCTGGGTGATTCAGGGGCCCTTTAAGAGCCGTCGAGTCTCTGACGAATTCTGGTTTTCTTAACCTCTTTGTGCTTTGCACTCGTTTCAGTACTTTTGATGAAGCTTTGTGGTGTTTCAATATTTTAAATAGGGAAAGTATGTTGTGTATGTTGTGATCTAACTGAATCTTAAACAGTCTGAACGAGAAATCTGAAGTTTTCAATGTTTACCACACCCATACCCAATGTTTGTACTCTATAAGAAAGTGAAGTCTGTATAAAATGCCTACAATACATTCTATTAGCGACAAGAATCAACAAATGATAAAGGATGAATAAAGACTTGAAGGTGCCAACAACTGGCCAGAATGTGGGAATAAATCTTGGAGGAAATAAAAGACTGAATTAACAGGTTCGAGCATCATTTTCATGATCCATGTAGGATTTCCATCTTTAAATTGCATTTAAAAGTTACGAGGAATGTACGTCGCGCAGCCTTGTAGAAGAGTCTCGAATCTGGATTATGGAGTCATTCACTTTGCTAACTTTGCTGTGCATAGTGTGATGGTTTCGTGCACACTACATTTCGTGCTCAAAATTAGAGTATGCTTATTATTATTCAACTCCGTCATATTCTGTGCCTAATGAGCTGAAAAAGTTGCTCCCTGAGAAGCGGCACTGCCTTGGCAGCAACTAATGAAATATGTTGAACCATGGGGCATGCGTGCAGTGTTTTCACATCTGCAGAAAACCGCCACACAGAAGCACGAGCCATTCTTGTGCTGTTTGCAGCATGTGTTGTTTGTATATGACATCATAATTGCCTCAGATAACAAATTTTGATTATAGATATTTCACAGCATTTCTCACTTGCCATATTCGATTAGACACTCTAAATGGTAAGCTTTCCATCGTTCTAGAGTAAATGAGCACTGTAAAAATTGGTTGCTGGTCCCTTTAATATACAGCTGCCCTATGAACATTGAATATGCCCAATCACAAAAGACTTGCAATGCAAACAATGTTTAAGTGATTGTTCTTGCTGTTTCGAGCATCAGCGTGTTAGGAAATGAAAACTGTTTTTTTTTTTCACAGTGCTTGCATTGTTATAGTGTGTTTATGTTTCACCGTGCTTCTTGTCCACAGACAAGCCAGAGTCCTGCAAGAGCACATACGAGATTGAGCGCATGAAGGAGATCCGGGGCATCAAGCTGCGGCCGGGTTCGCCGTGCAACAACTTCCATGGTTATTGCGACGTCTTCCAGAAGTGCCGCAATGTGGATGCTGAGGGCCCACTGGCACGTCTCAAGCGACTCCTCTTTGACAAGCAGTCACTGCATACTGTCAAGCAATGGGTCACGGTCAGTCCTGCCTTCTGTAACCGTTGTAGCCTCTCACTGTTGGTGATTGCCCTTCACAACATTCTAGTTGTTGTGGTGTGCTCATGCTGGCCCAAAGGTCCTGAGATTGAATTCTGGCCGTCATGGCCACATTGCGATGGAGGTTAATTGCTAAAGGCCTGTGTACTTAGACTTGAGTGCATGTTACAGAGCCCAAAATTTGTGGAGCCCTTGACTGTGGCATTCCTCATAGAGATATTGTGGTCTTGGGACATTAAATCCCCGGAAACGTTATCTTATTGCTGATTGGTTTTACATTGACTCATCAGTGTTGCTTAATCGTTATCTTACTGCTGATTTGTTTTACATTGACTCATCAGTGTTGCCCGAAGTGCAATTAACCCCTTAACTGCTTTGGACGAGCAGTGCTCACCCTGCCCAAACTGTCACCAAACTGCTTTGGACGCATAGCACTTGTCCTAGCGGAGTCGGTACTCTCCTCTAGCGTTCAGGTGGAAAAGCGCGCATTTATGGGTTACATTCGGTGTCATCCACTAGAGGGCAGCGTTAGGATTTAGTACTTTCCTGCAGCAGGAGCGCGGTATTTGTATGGAAAGAAGCGTGTGGTGGCGGCGGCGACCCATGCATAGCTGGCCCGTGAACACCAAAAACAAGCTATTTGTTTTCGTCATCTTCTTCGGGTGATGATGATTCATGTACAGATATTTATCTTTCTTGTGTCAGGAAGTGAAGACAACAATGGCGGGGAATGAGTAGCTCCTTTGATAATGACGAAGACAGCTTGGATGTGAACAGTGCGAGTACCCGCCAGTGAAGCCGCCTCGCGTAGCGTCTTGAAATTTTCCACACTGCCCTGAAGCTTCCAGAGTGAAATACCTCAAGGGTGCTTAGCCTACACAAGTGAAGCAAGATGTGTTGTCTGTAACTGTTTTGTTTATAATGTTCTTAATTTTATTAGCACCAGGTAGCTAGTTTCCTATGTGTTGTTGAAAAATAAACTTTATTCCGTTGTTTTGACTAAGAATGCAGAGAAAATATTTTTTGACATCGACTAGATACAAGCAACTCTGATTGTATTAAAGTACCATTAGAATCGTAATTGCCAGTAAACAAAATGGGCACTTTTTCACCTGAAATTTAAAAAACAAAATGAGATGTTGTATTGTTTGCATGCTCAGAGTTTGTTTAAAATATAGGTGGTGGAAATAAACAAAGAGCCCATTACCGGTGCGTTGTCCGACGCTGGTGACCGCTACCACTATCGCATGAAATAAGAAAAGAAAAACTGATAAAAACATTAATTAAACACGTGTCGTGACATAGAGGGATTCAAACCCAGGTCCACTCCCCGCAGGGGCGCCTGCGCAAACAGGGGTTTGGTGTGTAGCGACACCACAGACCCGAGCTAACGGGGGAGTTTTGACTCCCTCCCACGCCTAGCCGTGCGTGGCTTTGCCGTGTCCGAGGAAAAGGGGATCCTGGGGGTTGAGCTGACTGACGCTGGGTAATTGTACCTTTAAGGCCCCCCGGCAGAGGCAACACACCCCTTTGGCCCCGGCTTCACATAGACGGCACCCCTGGGCTGACCCACCCAGGGGAAATCGGCAGTCGCCTCTTCCTGTCTCCTTCTCTCTCTCCATCTTCGTCTTTTCTACTACTTTTGATCTTTCCTGTCCTCTCCTCACTTCTTTTTACTTCCACAATTCTCGGCGGCAAGGGTTAACCTGGTGTAGATATCCAACCTTGGGTAGATATATTAGGTTATAGCGGCCATGTACGGCTGGTGCTTGCGTCTCCTTCGCGTCTCGCAGCGTCCCCTTGTTGGGCTCGGTGGTGGGTGGCTGGCATGGCCGCCGAATAAGCTACCAAATTCATGGGAACTTCTAGCCCTCTCACAACCAATCGCCCCTCCAAGAGGTGGCGCATCGATGCAATTTTTGAATTTCTTCCAAACAAGAAAGATAACTTCCCGAAATACCACATCATTCACTGTGAAAGTACAGAAAAGAAAGCTGGAAGCATTTCACCTTTCCTTGTGTCCAGGCGCTAGGCGCAGGCTACAAAGCCACAAAGACCGCCAGTGGTGACCTGCTACTCGAAGTAAAAGACCACGCACAGTACCAGAGACTGCATAAACTTACATCATTTGGGGATCAGCCTATCACAATCACACCGCATCGAACCATGAACACCGTGAAGGGTGTTGTATCAGATGGAGACCTGATGGACTTCTCTGATGATGAGCTTCTAACAGGCTGGAAAGAAGAAAATGTCATTCAGGTGCAGCGTATTAAAATAACAAGAGAAAATAAAGAAACCCCAACGAAACACATCATACTCACTTTCGCATCTAGCACTCTCCCCACTGAAATAGCAACAGGATATCTTAAACTGCCAGTCAGACCATACATACCCAACCCGCGGCATTGCTTTAAGTGTCAGAGGTTCGGGCACGGCTCCCAGAGCTGCTGAGGACAGCTTACCTGCGCGAAATGCGGCACCAAAGGTCATACCGCTAACGATGACTCTCAGCTACAATTCCACTGCACAAACTGTGAGGGTGACCATCCTTCATATTCCAGGTCATGCGTGGCCTGGAAAAGGGAAAAAGAAATTATAATTACAAAGTTTAAATTGAACATAAGCTTCCGTGAAGCGCGGCAGTGCGTTTCCCCGCATTTTGCGGGAAACACATCGTATGCCGAAGTGTGCGAGGGGGTCAGCACCACTTCGGTTTTCGGCAATGCCTTGGACCACGCCCAGCGTGCCGAGGCAAACGCCACTAGCCCCCATGGTGGGAGTAGCCTCGGCTGCCCCACCCTCCTTGAATACAGCCCCACCAAAGGCCCCCATCTGCTGCGTATCGACCGACCATCTGCTGCGTATCGAGGAACAGATCCGAGACGCTTTTGCCCGCAAACAATACTTCCTCTCTGTGTTCCTCGATATCGAGAAGGCTTACGACACAGCATGGCGTTTTGGCCTATTAAGAGACTTGTCTCGCCTGAGTGTGCGCGGTAGAATGTTTTCCATAATCGAGAGTTACTTGTCCAATCTAACATTCCGTGTCCATGTAGGCAGTGTTCTCTCCCAAACATTTGTCCAGGAGACGGGAGTACTGCAAGGTGGTGTACTTAGTTGTACACTTTTTAATATAAAAATGAATTCCTTGCACCTGTCCATCCCCCGCAATATGTTCTATTGTACATGTGTCGACGACGTTCAGCTTGGCTTCAAGTCATGCAACTTGGCAATATGTGAGCGGCAGGTTCAGCAGGGTTTAAACAAGGTCTCCAAATGGGCAGATGAAAACGGATTTCGACTTAACCCACAAAAAAGCACGTGTGTCTTGTTCTCTCAAAAGAGAGGCATGCACTCGGAACCTGACATTCGACTGAACGGGCAACGTCTGTCTGTCAAAGCTGAGTATAAATGCTTAGGCTTAATCTTGGACAACAAGTTGACCTTTGTACCGCACATCAAGTATTTAAAAACAAAATGTTTAAAAGCCATGAATGTTCTAAAAGTGTTGTCACGTACTACGTGGGGTAGTGACAGGCAATGTCTCATGAACATGTATAGAAGCCTCATTCGCACCCGCTTAGATTATGGGGCTGTTGTTTATCAGTCTGCAACTCAAAGTGCTTTGAAGATGCTGGATCTCGTGCACCATTTGGGCATCGACCTTTCTACGTGTGCTTTTCGCACCAGCCCTGTAGAAAGCCTTTACGTTGAGTCAAATGAATGGTCGCTTCATCTACAAAGAACTTACATGTCCTTTGTATATTTTCTTAAGGTGAAAGCAGACAAGAAGCAACCCTCATACTCTACTATTAATGATTTGTCGAGCTACATTCTGTTTCAAAACAGGCCTTCGATGAGGCAGCCCTTCTCAGTTCGCCCGAAGGGTCTAGCTGAAGAAACTGGAGTGTCACTTGAACACAGTTTAATGGCTCCTGTAGCATACCCGCCACCGTGGCAGTGGCAGACTATAGACTGCGATGTGTCTTTCCTAGAAGTTACAAAACATGCGCCTATTGCCCATATCCAAACATACTTCCTGGAACTTCAACACAAATACACACGTCCTGAGTTCTTTACAGATGCTTCTAAGTCTAACTCCTCTGTGTCCTACGCTGCTGTCGGCCCATCCTTTTCGGATGCTGGCCCTCTACATCCAGGCACAAGTATCTTCACAGCGGAAGCTTAAGCGATACTTGTGGCTGCTAAACACATCAAACAACTACAAATACAAAAAGCAGTAACTTATACGGACTCCCTCAGTGTGGTAACGGCTCTGGACAATCTTAAAAAACAAAAAAACCCTGTCCTCGTCTCACTTTACTCCACTTTATGCATACTCTACACACTCAAACAACATGTTGTAGTGTACTGGTTGCCAGGGCACCGTGACATCCAAGGCAATGTGATGGCGGATCAGCTTGCTGCATCCGTCCACGAAAGCACTGCCACTACACCCTTATCAATCCCAGCCCTTGATCTTAAGCCGTTTCTCAAGCGAAAGCTCAGGGACTACTGGCAGAGCAAGTGGGATAGACACACAAAACAAACTACACGTTATTGAGCCACACCTTGGCCATTGGCCTCCAGTATCAAAATCACGTCACACAGAGGTAACACTAACGAGGCTCAGGACAGGATACACATACACGACACACTCACATCTTTTGTCCGGTGGTGATCCACCATTGTGTGACAGATGTGGTGAAGCACTAACAGTTCTTCACATTTTAATCCAGTGCAAACAACTAGACACTCCAAGAAAACAACACTTTTCATTACCCTACTGACAACATATACCTTTACACCCTGCAATATTCGTCGGTAGGGAACCACTGTTCACTCATAAATCGGTGCTAGCTTTTTTAAGAGATGTTCGCTTTTATCATGTCATACACCCAGGCAATGCGTAGCGCGACCTCTTATTAGAGGTTGCTGCTGCAGTGACTACATTTAAAAGCACTTGCCTCGCAGCCCTT